ATCCTGGAAAGGAAGGAACAGCGGAAGGAGCAAACCTGAAACTCTGAATCCCAGTGAGTCCACTGAAAGGCAGCAGCTGGAAGCTTAAAGAACTGATCAGAGATCTGAGCTACTATCTACTACAGGGGAGAAGGAGACTGAGGTTTCAGTCCAGCCAAATGACTGGCTGCCAGAACAAAAATTAACACTCTTCAGAGGAATGTAGCAGAATCCAGAGTCCTTATTAATGTATCATCCATAATGTCCACTGTATAGTAAAACATCATCAGACAAGAAAAAAGTATCAATACGTGACTCCTACTGAAGCAAAATGCAGTCAAAAACTTTAAGGAAGCTATCATAAGTAACTTATAGGAAAATATACTCTTATTTAATAGACTGACGGGGAATCTCAGCAGAGAAATAGCAATGATAAAAAAAGGACTAATTGGGAATTCTGCATGTGACAAATACAATAACTGATATCAAAATTCACTGGATGGCCTCAACAGCACTTTAGAGACAGTGGAAGAGTTGGTGAATTAAAAGTTAATACAAACGATCCAATCTGAAGATTAGAGAGAAGCAAGATTAAAGAAGAGACTTCCCTGGTGGCACAATGGTTAAGAATCCACCTGCCAGTGCAGGGGACACGGGTTCGAGCCCTGGTCCAGGAAGATCCCACACGCTGCGGAGCCACTAAGCCCGTGCACCACAACTACTAAGACTGTGCTCTAGAGCCCGCAAGCCACAACTACTGAAGCCCATGCACCTTGAGTCTGTGCTCCGCAACAAGAGAAGCCACTTCAATGAGAAGCCCATGCATCACAACAAAGAGTAGCCCCTGCTCACCCCAACTAGAGAAAGCCTGTGTGCAGCAACAAAGACCCAACACAGCCAAAAATAAATAAATAAATAAATGATTTATTTTAAAAAAAGATGAAAGAAGAACATGATAATCTCAGATAATGTACTGGAGTTCTAGAGATCTACTGGAGTTCTAGAAGGAGAGGAGAAAAGAGAAAAAATTTTTGAAGAAATAATGGCCAATATTTCCCAAATTTGGTAAAAAAACAAAACATAAACTTACAGGTCCAAGCTCAACAAACCCCCAAGCAGGATAAACTACAATTATACCTAGACACATCATAGCCAAACTGCTGAAATACAAAGATGAAAGAGCCAGAGAAAGACATTACATACAAGAGAACAATGATACAAGTGACAACTGATGTCTCTTCAGAAACAATGGAAGCCAGACAATAAATGCCTTTCAAGTGATGGAAAAAAACAACCCGGGATTCTATCTTCAGTGAAACTATCCTTCAAAGATGAAAGTAAAATAAAAGTCATTTTCAGTGAACAAAAATAGATGATCAGTCACCAGCAGGCCTCCACAATTCTCAAGAAAATTCAAGCTGAAGAGAAATGACGTGTCATTCAGGCTCACAAGGAATGAAGAACATCAGAAATGGCAGATATTTAACAAATATAAAAGACTATAGGGATTTCCCTGGTGGCACAGGGGTTAAGAATCTGCCTGCCAATGCAGGGGACATGGGTTCGAGCCCTGGTCTGGGAAGATCCCACATGCTGTGGAGCAACTAAACCTGTATGCCACAACTACTGAGCCCACGTGCCACAACTATTGAAGCCCGTGTGCCTAGAGCCCATGCCCTGCAACAAGAGAGGCCACCACAATGAGAAGCCCGCACACAGCAATGAAGAGTAGCCCACCCACTGCAACTAGAGAAAGCTCACGTGCAGCAATGAAGACTCAATGCAGCCATAAATAAATAAATGTATATTAAAAAAAGACTATATACAGGCATACCTTGTTTTATTGCACTTTGCTTTATTGTGCTTTGCAGGTGTTGTTTTTTACAAATTGAAGGTTTGTGGCAACTCTGTGTCAAGTCTATTTGGTGCCACAGCATTTGTTCTCTTCATGTCTGTGCCACATTTTGGTAATTCTTGCCGTATTTCAAACTGCTTCATTTTTATTCTATTTGTTACAGTGACCTGTAATCAATGAGTTTTCTTTTTTTTTTGCCACGCCGTGTGGCTTGTGGGATCTTAGTTCCCCAACCAGGGATCGAAACCACACCCTCGGCAGTGAAAGCCCAGAGTCCTAACCACTGGACCGCCAGGGCATTCCCTCAGTGATCTTTGATGTTATTAAGTATTGCAAAAAGATTATGACTTGCTGAATGATGATTAGTACTCTTTATCAAATAAAGGATTTTTAAATTAAGGTATGTACATTTTTTATTGCACATTTAATAGACTACGGTATAATGTAAACATAACTTCTATATGGACTGGGAACCAAAAAATTTGTGTGACTCACTTTGTGATATTCACTTCATTGTGGTGGTTTGGAACCAAACCCACAATATCTCCAATGTATGCCTGTATACATTCTCTTTTCTCTTAATTTTTAAAAAAGACACATGCCTGTTTCAAACAAAAATTATAACATTATACTGTTGGATTTATCAGGTATAGCTATTATATATGAAAAACAACAAAAAAAGAAAAGAGTAAATGGAACCATACTGTTCTAAGTTTCTGTATTTTGTATGAGGTTGTATAATATTAATTCTAAGTTGACTGTGATAAATTAAAGATGTATACTGTAATCCCCTAGAACAACCATTAAAAACAATATAGGGCTTCCCTGGTGGCGCAGCGGTTGAGAGTCCACCTGCTGATGCAGGGGACACGGGTTCGTGCCCTGGTCCGGGAGGATCCCACATGCCGCGGAGTGGCTGGGCCCGTGAGCCATGGCCATTGAGCCTGCGCGTCCAGAGCCTGTGCTCCGCAACGGGAGAGGCCACAACGGTGGGAGGCCCGTGTACCGCAAAAATACAAATAAAAAAACAATATAATTTGAAAGCCAATAGAAAAATCACAACAAAATATTTAAAATATTCAACTAACCCAAAAAAAGGCAGGAAAAGAGGAACAGAGGGAGGAAAAAAATCCAAATGGTAAACTGAATCCAAACATATTAGTAGTTATATTAAATATAAACCAACTAAACACACCAAGTAAAAGGCAGAGATTGTTAGGCCAGTTAAAAAAGCACGACCCAACTACACGTTATCTTAAAGAGATGAACTTTAAATACAAATTCTTAAAGAGATGAACTTTAAATACAAATTAAGTTAGGGCTTCCCTGGTGGCACAGTGGTTAAGAATCCACCTGCCAGTGCAGGGGACACAGGTTCAAGCCTTGGTCCAGGAAGATCCCACATGCCATGGAGCAACTAAGCCCGTGCACCACAACTACTGAGCCTGCACTCTAGAGCCTGCGAACCACAACTACTGAGCCCGCGAGCCACAACTACTGAAGCCCGCGCACCTAGAGCCCGTGCTGTGCAACGAGAAGCCACCACAGTAAGAAGCCCCAACAAAGAGTAGCCCCCACTTGCTGCAACTAGAGAAAGCCCGTGCGCAGCAATGAAGACCCAATGCAGCCAAAAATAAATAAATAAAATTTTAAAAACACAAGTTAAAAGTAAACAAATGAGAAAAGATATTTCATGCAAATACTAAGCAAACAGTTATTTCTATTTGGCTCCAATTTGAATAAACACTTTTTTACATGTACCTTTCCAATTACATTTGTTACACACCAGTTATTTATCAACCTGGATCCATTTGGGGTGATTCTTTTTTTTTAATGTTTGGGTTTCATTTGACCCTTGACATTTATTTTTCTTTTAAATCACTCACATGACTGCTTTCTCCCCTCCCCCACCCAGTATGATTAATGAAATGTCTTATCAAGGGAAGCCTTTCAGGATTTGCTGGTCTCTCTTATCTGTACTCAAAGGATTTCGGCATTTGATCTAGCTATTAAAGCAGGTAATGATTCTTAATCCCCTTTTATTTTTCATTCTTATTTGTTTACTTTGCTCCTTTTATGTACATTACTTCCTCTTTGGTTTTGTCTATTTCTGCAACTCTGAGGTGGGGCTAGCCCACTGGAGGCTGATGAGCCCTTCAAAGCTGCCCCCCTCACAGGCTGGAGGCACCACCTTCCCCTCCCTTGTTTTTTCTTCCAACTCCTGGTTGTCCTCATCAGGTTTTCTCTTCCACTTAGAGAAGTCTTTGAGTTTATTAGCTCTTTCTACAGTAGGCACCTTCTAAACAGAATTTCAAAATTAGACATACTTAAGTTTGGAAGAGTTTCCCTACATTCTTTAAACAATACTAAAGCTCTAATGCTCCCTCAAACTTAGACAATTCATAGCTGGGGCAGGGCTGGAAAGAACATGACTATAATAACAAAGAAACCTCATACTAAGCATGACTACAAAGAATGGTTTTGTGGCATGTGACAAATCTGCTCAAGTGAAAGGAACACCACCAATTCCCTTCTAGCCATCCTGGCTTCATAAAGAATTGCCTATCCCAACAAACTCCACTTGTGTATGCCACCACTTTTCACAAACCGTGACCTTAGGAAAGAAACCTAATAAACTAACAGTCCCATGGGAGGCAGAACCCCACTGCTTTAACCACTTTAGACAATGTTTTAAAAGATGCTTTTAAATGTAAAGGCCTTGCCTAACTGGACCACTGAACAAAAATTATTTTAGACAGTAACATGCAAGAGGCAATACTAAGAACTGCTTGGGTTGTTGTTTACTTCTGAAAACTTGAGCCATGATCAGGTGCTTTGAGATCTTCCTTTTCAACGTGGGTCATGTCTTAAAACACGCAGACTAGGTCACCAAGGGATTTAGTGGTTAGCTAAACACCAATGGAAACGATTCATTCCAACTTGCAGTTTTAAGTAAAGATTTAAGGGCCTGCTATGCCTCCTATCAAGAGTAAATTATCACACATCCTGTTTATACAGCCTGGCTTGTCCACAGTTCTTCAAAGAGCTGGTGACACCCCCCTAACTCACACTCCACCCTACCCCCAACTTCCTGCTCATTGGGGTGCTATATTCCTACTCATTTTTAAGAAGTGCCTCCCTCAACAAAATACTCTGCATTACAGTACTTTTTAAAGAAAATACTTTATTACATCATGAAAAAAATGCATCAACTAGATTCATACTTGTTTGAAAAAAAATTGAAAATTTATTAATTAGACAGTATGTGGGCATCCTGTTCCACATGGGAATGAGAAGATGCTATAGGTTCTCTAAGTATTGCACAGTCTGAAAAAGACACCAACAAAAAAATGGGAGGGGAAAAAAAAAATCACATAATCTTGGGAACCACCTCACATTATGAATAATCTACCAAGAAACATTTAAAAAAGAAAACCCTTTGTTTCTACAGTAGCTTTGAGTTTATAGTTCTTGGAATGACTGTATTCCACTGACAACATCTCAGTAACAGGAAGCTTCATTTTAGCAATCCCATGTGCAAATATTAATAAAAAAATATATAAAATAATGCAATTCACCTCTTGCCATCATCCCAGCAATCATAACATTTCTGAGAACTGTTTTGCTTGAAAAAAGGGGTTAAGCCATAAGTTTTGCCTGAAGCTCCATTTCTGCAGCCCGTTTGAGTGCAACATCTACCAGAAGCTGAAATCCACTAAAATCTTGGTTGAGGTCCGGTGGAGTAGGGGGAGGAGTGTTGAAAAGACCACTCTGTGTGTGTGCACTTGGTCCAGATTTACACGTGTCCTCTGGGTACATGAGGGAGGTGTCTGTAAAGCTGCTGGCTGCCATCTGCTGTATATCTGTGTTTTGTCCCACACCAACTGACTGGCAGAGAGAGAAAGGCACATCTTTCAATGCAGTCACAGTGGTATGACAGATAACTGATGGACGAGCCAAAATGGATCCTGGGGATGATGGCTTAGGAGACAGTGGCCTCCCTAGGGCTGGGTTGGGTCCAGCTGTACAGGAGTGAAAAGGGCTCTCCTCTAGAGCCGGCATGAAGTTTTTGATGCCTGTTGCTGACTCCACAGAGCTGGCTTCAGATATCTTGGCCCCTCGGCGGGAAATTGTGAACTGATTTGGATCTTTGCCATCCTTTCTCAGCATGTCGGGGAGGAGCCTGCGCCGGGCGTTGATAAACCAGTTACAGACCTGAAATCATACGGGGATGTTTTAGACGCTTTAACACTCCGCCAACACGCCCGAGAACCTTCTTGGGGGCGCCTTACTGCTCTCTCTCTTTGCATTAAAGGAGGCATGAAAAGGCTTATCGGGACCTACAAAGTTATTTAGAGGTATTTGAGCCCGGCCAAGAAAAGAGAGGTGCTTCCTGTCATAAACCTCCTCTTTTTTTAATACAAATCCCCTTTTTGGTCTCTCATCATCCTTAAACCTTTTCAGGAGGAAGGAAAAGAAAGGTATACATTCTCAAACACCTGAAAATGATTTTAGAGAGGGAATTTTACCTTTTAACTCTCCCCATATTAACCTGTTATCTACTGCCCCAGCATTTAAGTTAATCAACTACAAGAAAACCTTTCCTGTATGAAAAGAGCCACTCCTCCCAGTTACTGATTTTTCCCAGTTCAAATGACTATGTCAACAGACAGAACATGAATTACCTCACTGAAGTCTGAACTTGTTTAAATATCAAACCAGTTTCCTGGGCAATAGAGTAAGATTTAACCTCCTTCTTATGTTTGTTGCATAAAGGAAGGCTCTTTTAGGCATTAAAGGAAATGCTGTTTGACAGATGACTGTCAAGTGTTTCTGTTTCTCTATATAGCCAGTTATTAGCTGTTAGCACTATAAAAACTTTACAAGAAAAAGATATGCCCCCCCCTTTTTTTTGAGTGGGGAGGCACTTAATGCCTTGCTATACAGGAATGCTATAAAGCGACTTTGGGGAAAAAACCCACCACACCCCCGGGCATACAGCTGGTGTTCCTTTCCCTTACCTGTAGTGTAGAGAGGTGTGTTTGTTGGGACAGTAATGCTTTTTCTTGCTCTGAGGGGTAGGCATTGTATCGGTGTTCATACAGCCAATCGCGGAGAATCTGAACGGACTCCTTGGGCAGGTTGCCCCTCCGCCTTCTCTTGCCTGAGCCAGCAGAAGAGGAGAGGTCCAGGGGGCTGTCCATGCTGTCATCATCCTCGGTCTCACTGCCAGACGCGGCAACAACACCTAGAGAGGACAGAGGCCAGCCGTCAGCCACTGTTATCAGCAAAGCTCACCTCTTTTGACCACTCAGCACAACTGTGTTTTCTCAACTCTTGAGAGGCAAACAAGCGAAGAACGGGTGTTTTCCGTCCTGAAACACCAGAGCTCATAGGAAATCTCAAGAGTAATTCGACTAGCAGCATATTCTAGATTCCCAGCCCACCGGCAGATTCCCTTTCGTACCCATTTTCCTATAGGATTCAACATCTCACATTCCTTTTCAATGATGCTCAGAAATGTCTAATCCAGCAAGTGAGACAAAGCTGCACCTAAAGCGAATAGCTTGCCACGTGTGAAAACAGGAAAGGTGTCATAAGCAGACAGGATGTGTCTGACAACCTTCTCCGTGAGGTCATTGCTAACTAGGAAAAACAATCCAACTAATATACCTTTGAAACACTGTTCTTCCTCCCTCTTCCACTGAAGGTTTTGAAATAAAAAGGAAGATTTTTTCCACTGATATAAGCCAAGAAAATTACACTTGTAACCCAGTTAGTAGTCTAAAGATAAAATGCATGGCAGATTTTTCTGCCAATTCCTTTTCTTTTCCTTTTCATTGCTACCTCCATTTATTCAAAACTAGACACCTACTTTTAATGGACAGTACTAGTCACTTTTTACTAAATGCAAACAACCACTGAAGTTTTCAGTTTCACTGCATAAAAATATTCTTCTATTTTTAGTACTTAATGTAAGAGGTCAAAAGATGCCTAGTAGTGAATAAACTTTAAAACTTCCATAAATTTCAACTGCCAGTTTAATCCGAACCCAGGATACTACATATCAATAAGCAGAGATCAGCTTTAAATCGTTACATGACAAAGAAAACTGAATATGCAACCCCCAGAGGAAACTCTCTTTTGTTTACAAGCGCTTTAATCCTACCAGAAATTTTTAAAAAGTCACACCCATAGAGAATATTTAAATCACACATAGACTGGGTTCTACAAAAATTCAGACTTGGCCCTTTTAGACATTTAAAGATAATTTTGAACTTTAACCCTTCCCCATTTCAAATCTACAAAAGGCTACTCTGACTAAAGACGTATATTCTCATTTTTGAAGACAATTTAGAATTTTTAAAACATAAATAAATTACAAACTATAGTATTCTTGAAAAACCAGTATTTCTATATAAAGGAAATTAAAGTAGCATGACATTTAAAGGTAGGCACTCTTAACTTTGTTGACACAAGCTCAAGTGGTTTTCCTTGATAGGAAATAAAAACAGAATATTCCTCAGAGTGATAAACCACTCAATGTATCTTAAAGGAACTTTGCCCAAACCCCATCCTTTCAAAGCATTTTAACACAATGAAACTCAAAAAGCTACTCATTCCAAGATTTGCTGCTGAGCTAGCTCATCAGTTAATTGAGTCTAACTCTTCTTGGTGACACATTTTCAGTTTTGGACTGCAGGGGGCAGAAGGTGCTGGAGGGAGTGTCCGCAAAAAACTTCCAAAGACAAAGACAAAGTAAAGCAAGTTCTAACAAAAGAGTAGGATGATCTTGCAAATTCACTTTGGCTCAAGGCTTAATTAACAAACAGCCATCAGTAAAAGGCCCAGCAATCCTAAATTTTAACGGCAGCTGCGTATCTGATGTTTTTCAACCCAGATTTCATTAAACTGCTTAAAAAGAAAGAAAAAAAAGGAGGCACATTTAAAACTGAAAGTGCTTTCACTGTTGAGAAGATGAGAAACTTTTAAAACCTGTGTTGAAACTTGGGTGAAGAACTATTAAAAAACCTTAAGAAATTATAAAGGTTCCTGTTTTACATTTGCTCTGATAAAGAAATCTTAACTTTTAAAAACGTGTCAAGTAACTGAATGACTAAAGCAAATGTGAATAAAGCAATTTGTTTAAACTCTTCAAAAAGTCTGAAAAGTCAGAACTTCTCTAGGCTATTAACCCCACCTCCCCTTTTTAACGTTTTAGAAAGTGTTAAAGTCTGCTCACTGAACAGTGAATTCCCAACTGTAAATTGACAATCACAAATAGTTTGAAACAAACAAAAAACCCCTAAAGCCTGTCCTTTGATCTGCTCACTTAGTTTGACAAGAAGCCTGATCTTTCAAAACAGGCTAGTGACACAAAAGCAGGTTTCAGTTAAGCAACACCAAACTGCAGCGACTTTACTCTGTTCTCAGTTCATTTAAATAAAAGAGCGGCCAGGCCTCCGGACCTCTTAACAAATATTTCCAATATGTGCACAAAAGCTGACGGAACAGGAAGTTAAGACTTCAATTCCTTGGCTGTGCCAGCTGATATTTCACTACAGCAAACCACGTTTGCTGCTGTCAGGACTGTCTTCATTAAAACTCTCCCTCCGGATTGTGGCTCAACTTGGAAAAACAAAGACTTTTCCAAGTTACTCATTTCCTATTGTAACAGAACTTTGGAACACTTTCCCGGTTACGACTTGTTTCCAAACGTTTTACTCTGCTCACACTTTAAAAAATGTGGTGGTCGGGGGCGGGGGGGCGGTGCGGGGGGATCACAAGCCTCTTTTACTCCATCCACATACAAGGAAATTTGTTTAGAAAGCCACAAGATGCTCTATGAATCCCACAGCCCTAAAAAGCATTTTTTTTTCCTGAGTAGTAACAGGGGGAGGGGCAGAGCCCGGGGTGGGGGCAGAGAGACAATGGTTGTGAAGTTGGACTCTTAAAAAAAAAAATCTGGAAGAGACTAGAAAAGGATCTGGGAAAAAAAAAAATCTGCAAGAGACTAGAAAAGGATCTGGGAATAACAATAACCGAAGGCAACGCTTAAGGGTAAAAATAGGAAAAAGCAAACCTAACCTAACAGGTTTCCTGATCAGAACATCTCAGGAGAAGCGACGGGAAACGTACTTAACCCCCCAGGCACTAAATCCAAGGAGCGCTAGGATGAACCCAGCCGCAGAAGTTTGAAGCAAGAATCCCACATCGTCAGAAACCGGGAGCAAAGAGACTTAGGGGGTTTTCCTCAACGAATCTCCTTGCTTGTTTGAAAATCTGTTGGGGAGGTCTTTTGGGCATTCTCAGTTTTCTAAGACGAGACACTATTGTCACAAAGCAGTCTTACCAAATCCCCGGCTCCGCGATTGAGGTTTTAAGTGCTTTTGTTTTCAACAAAACTTGAAAAGATTTTCACTGACTTTTATAAAACGGACAGTCCAACTCGGCGAGCCAGATCTCTTCCGGAGCCCTAGCGGAGGCCACTGGGCGCGGGGCCCCCAGGTGGCTGGAGGCCGGGGCGGGGTCGGGCAGGACCTAGAGGGACTCGCCGAGGGAGGAGCCCGGCCCCGCCGGCCCGGGAGCTTTTGTTCCGCCAACTCCTCGGCCCCCGCTGAAGTCGCCCCTCCGACCGCACGAGTGAGAGCAAACCCAGGCCTTGGAGTTTCAGATTACAAGAAGAAACTGAAAACGGGGCCGTGAATCTCAACCTCCTCAGGGGCCTGCCCACCCGCAGAGGATTTGCCAGGAAAACCTAAAAAGGGAAAGAAACCCGGGCAACCTCGGCAGTCTCAGCTCCCCCGCAAGGGCTCCGAACCAGTCGCGAAGTTTCCCCTCCAACACGTCACCTTTCATTGTTTCCGTGAGTCGGCGCGGTAGCAGTACCTCGCGCCCCGGGGCAGCGCGCCCCGAAGATTCCCCAGGGACCGGCGGGTTCCTGCCCCGTCCCCTGGCTGGGGTGGGGGGAGGGCGCCGAGAGAGGGGTGCCGGGAAGGACGGGGGGCACCGGCACAATAGCGGGGAGGGGGGAACCCCAGAGCCTTACGGGTGGTCGGGGAGGATCATCACAGCCTTCCCCGCCAGAGCCCGAACAATGGGGGGAGCCCGCCCCGGCGCAAGCCCAGCTCTGCTCTGCTCTCGGATCACAAGACGCACCCGTCAAAAACAACCCAACTTGTCCCAGTCAGTTCACCAGGAGGGAGAGAACGCCTCCCAGGGACGATCTGGACCTGTCAGCCTTCCACGAGTTGACCTGGTCTCCCTGGGCGCCCCCGGGCGCTCCCCGCGCGCCTTTTCTCGCCGAGCCCAGTTAAACGTCCAAACCTCTGAGCCCCCGCTCTCGTCCTTCAGGGTCCCCGGGGAGAGGACGCGCGGGGAGTTAGTTCCACTACAACTACCAAGGCCCCGGGGTGGACGTTTAGTTTGACTCCCGCCCGCAAAGCGGGAGGTGGGGAGCTCCGCGTGTTTCAAAGGCACCAGCCCAGGATCAAACGAACGGAAATCCAAGGTGAAAATGTGGCCGAGGGAACCCTCTCGGCTCCGAGGCTGCCCCACTCTAACGGGAGTCTGTTCTAACCGTATTCGCTCGACGAGTCTGAAAGAATGTGGAGCTGGAGAAACTCTGGCCGCAGCTGGGCATGCGCAGTAGTCACCCCTCCCCCCACCCCGCCCGCGCTGGCTTCCCCGAGCGATTAACTTCTGTTTTGAACCACTGGACATAAATCACAACAGAAAAGCCAACTCCGGCCCACGACGGAACATTCGGGGGTACCTCCCTGCTAGAGACTGAAAAGTTAACTTCAAAAGGGAGTTAAAATTCTTTGACCTTTCGTGGGGGTGTCTTTTTTTCCCCTTTTTCTTTCTGTGTATTTTGTTTTTAAACCAGACTGACGGCAAGTTTTAGCTATAAAGCTTCCAGAACGCTTCGTGGAAACAATGACAGACTCACTCTTTGCATGTCACACTTGAACTCATTCTGACTGCACGCCGCTTGCCCGCAGTCCTAACTCTTCCTCTTGCCCCAGATACATCGTGGGAAAACTTGTAGAGGCTGGGAATTCTGAAGTCTAGCTTTCCAAAGGGACCGACACCCGGGGGCGACCTGGGGTCCAGAGTCGCCTTCCTCTGATGGTGTAAACGCCCCATCCCTGGAGAAGACGTGCCCGGCCCAGCCGGGAGTGAGCGGGGACCCAGGAGCCCAACTTTGAGACAAAGGCGCCGCGGCTCCGCCGGCCGGGGCCCCCAGGGTCCCAACGGGGAAAAGCGGGGCAGGGATGCCCCCGACCCGGACCCCACTCCCCCGCCCGCGAGAAAGAGCAAGAAGCCACGCGGCGAGCGTGGGGTGTCTGCGGAGACAATGAAACTTGGAGGCGCACAAACAGGGCGGCGAGCGTGTTTCTTGACAACGTGCCAGCAGCGTGGAGAGGCCCGTCTCCCCACAACAGCCCCTCGGTGTTGTGTCTAAGAAGGAAACAACAACTGCCATTTCAGACTCAGCCTCAACAAAGAGAACGGCCGCCGCTCGGGCCTGCGAGCCCCGGGGCGGAAAAGTCCACCAAGTCATTCTCGCCCCGAACCCAGCGCCGCCCCTCGCGCACGTTTCCCTGGGACTCGCGTCCACGGCGCGCACAGCCCGCGAGCCTTACCTTTCTTGCTTTTCATTCTGGAGCTCCCCTTCCAGCGCGAGGCGACGCTGGGGTCTCCAGGGGCTAGGAGCGAGGGCGAAAGGGCCGAGCGATTGTCCTCCTTCCCGGCCGACTCTCCCGTAACTTGTAGGACGCGCTCCAGCCGTTATTGCTAAACAAGGCGCTCGGATCCCAGGCTCCCGCTCCTTGGGTGGAATTCAAGTGACACTTGGGCTTCCTCCGGCCGGAATCTTCTGGCAGCCGGCCGGGGGCTCCCCCTCGCCCAACTCGCTCCCCTCCCCACTCCGCTCCTTTGTTCCCCGCTCCTGCTCGGCGCACCTCGGCGCTGTCAGAGTGAGCGAGACGAGGAGGGAAGGTACAGGAGGTCCTGCCTCCGCCCCCAGCCGCCCGCCCCGTCCCCCGCCCGCCCCGCCGCTCCTCCGCCCCTCCCCCGCACCTTCCAGCCGCGGAGGACGGCACCGAGCGCCGCGGCCGCGCCGCCTCACCCCGCGTCCCCGGGCCGCTGTCACCCGTCCCTCGTGGGGGCGGCCGAGCCCAGAAACGCGATCGCTGCTCCCCACTGCGCGCACGCCGCCTGCATCCCCGGCTCGGCGGCGGCGGCGACACCAGCCGAGCGCCCCGAGTTTCTACTTTAGGCCTTTCTTCCCGGGCCTGGCGAGGGTGCCTTTGGTTAGGAAATTGCAACAGATGGAAAAGAGGCTGTCTCCTCCTCCCCCTCCTCCACCCCAGGGAAGAAAAGGCTCCCCTTTCGTTTTTGACAGCTGCCCCAACTCCACCGTCCCCGCTCTGGCAGCAGGAGAAGACAGCGGCTGCTGGTTCAAGGGGCGGGGCTCCGTAGGAAAAGTATTCGGGACAAGAACCAACTTCTTCCAGAATGCGCGGCTGCCATTGACACGCGGGCGCGGCGCGGCGCGGCGCACCCTTCTCCTCCGGGGGCTCTTCCTCCACAGCAACAGTGGGGGGCGGGGGGGGAGGATGAGGCACAGACACCCCGGGTGAAAGTCTGTTCCCCCCGGCTAAAGCTGCGAGTTCCGGACTGGATTGCAAGGCAGTTTCGAAATCTAACATGTTGCGGACAGACACTTGTCATGCTCACATGCTCTTTAAAAGTCTCTGCCCGGGGACGGCCCGGACGCGCGCCCGCCCCGCCTAGACTCGGCCTGACATCCGCACCCCCGGACCCGGGCAGCTGTGCCGCCTTTATGGGAAGGGGGCTACCACCCCCGGGGGCGCTCATCTGTTTCGGTAAACAGAGTCTACTTTTAGGACTTATATCCTGCTAGGGGACCCTTTTCTCCCCACCCCCCCACCCCCGGTACTTCAAACAGAAACCAACCATTAAGTAAATACATGTTCCTGTTGCTTTAATTTGGTTGAGAGGAAGACTCCAGTAGGAGTTCCTAGATGAAATTACCCTTTAAAAAGACTTCTCCTCTCCTCTACTTTTCGCGTGTTTGTCCCCTTCGTCGTTTTGAAGTAAACGAACTGTCACATGCCACATTAAGACTTTCCCCATCACTTAAAAAAAAAAACAACCCAAACGTAAATAATTTAGCCTAATAGAGACGTCAGCTCCCGAGTCAGCCTCCAGTTTCTGCTCTGTGCTGTTTTTGTTTTGTAATCTCTGTGAAGAACCCGGCAGAAGCTCCGTGGAAATAAGGTTCAACCCAAGGAGGAATAAGGCAGCCAAACGATGACTAACTAGATTTTGGAGCCTCTGTTTTAGGATTACACTGAAAATTAAAGCCAGCCTCCCACCCACTCACCCTCCCCCAAAAAAGACACCCCCGCCCCGAGAGTGAATAAGGCCAGAGTTTACAAAGCTTGGGTGGTTTTTTCCAATTACAGGACTTAAAATGAATAAACAAGGAAAACAGCGTCAGTCTAAGAAGGGAACGACCTTACGATTATTTTTTTCCTGTGGTGTGCCGACTGCTCGGCACCTAAGAGAACACACATCTAAAACGACCAAGGGGGGAACATGGTCCTGGGGGAAACCACCAGCCTGGAGGGGCTCCCCTGTAACTTGCCGGAGCGCAGTTCCTTCCCGGCCTGGCGGCAGATGAATCAGCGGCTGCGCCCGCGCGCAGGACAGATGTGGGGCGGGGAGGGGCCCGTTAGAGGGCCGCTCCGCTCCCGCGTTTGAAGGGTTGTTTGTTACTGGGATTGGTGGCTCACATCCGTTGGGGACCGGGAGAAGGGGGAGGAGGGACGCAGGAGGAGGAGCCGGACCGCCGGCGCTGCGCCTCAGCGGTCGGGGTGGCAGGAGCCTCGTCTGGAGCCGGTTACTGGGGAGACGCTTTGTTTGCTAACTTCGAAAGCCGCTTCGGCTGCCTCGGCCTCTTTCGAAGCCGGTCCACGAAACCCGCCTTCGGGTCGGCTTAACCCTCCCCCTGGGCCGTTTGCACCAGCGCGAGACAAAACTGTTTCCTTCTTCCGCGTGGTTCTCCGCGGCCACGCGGTGGCTCTCATTATGTACACAAAGGTATCTTTTCCTTCATCTAAGTGAACTTGGCTGATTATTGCGATTCTCAAGCAGCCGAGATGGAAACCGAGGGTTGCAGGGAGTTTATAGCTAGAAAACAAACTTTACCGGGGAAGGGGCGCCGAGAATTAAAAGCCTCTTTTCAAATGGCCAGGAGGAGTAAGTCGAACGTTCAACTCTCTCGCTGGAGGTCCGGCTTGGTCCGGGCAATGCTCACCTTTGGCTCGAGCGAATCACACCGAAGCAGCTATTAAAGCTGGCAAGATGCTCCCGAGAGGAACACGGGCCCCCTCCCCCGGGTCGATGTCCTCCCTCCCACATCCTCAAGGCCCGTCCCAAACTTGTTTGAAGCTGTGGATTGTTGGTGCATTCTGGGAAGAAAGTGCCTGGAGTCTGCGTAACACAGGCCAGGAAAACAACCCGAAAGAGTGGGCTTGAAAAACCAGCAGTTGCTTAGGATATTTTTGTTTATTTGCTTTTCTCAAGGTGGAAAAACAAGTTTCAGTTCTGGCTCTGTGAGTCCCGAAATATCCCAGGTAGGGCCTCTCGGTGAAACTGATCCAGTGTCCTCTAAGATTCTTCCCGGTGCTTGGGGGGAGGAAATGTGGATTCACATTTACTATGTATTATTTGCTGAATTCATGTGGATGTTAATTATATTGGAAAATTGCATGAATGAAAAGTGAGAAAGTGTTTGGTACTTGATCGTCGTTTTACACCATTATTTTTTCCCTCCAGGCACACAGTTCCATTTGGTGTCTTATCTTCCCAGGCTGCCTCAAGGCCAAGAAAAGACACAGAGTTAAGTTACTTTTCACAGCTGCAAACCCTTCAAAAGCAAAAACTCAAAAAGAAACTTGGAAAGGCACATAAGCCAGAAAAGTGTATCAATACTTGCAGTTATTATTTTGATACGTGGTCCATCAAGTGATTGAAGACTATTTATTTCCTTCATCTCAGTGACCGCTGATAAAGCCTGATTCCACGTGGCACTGTCTTACGCCGAGGAATGATGACTCACAGTCACTGGATCCCTTTTGCTTCTCCTCTCTGGGGAACAGATATTTTTATAAAATATGCAGACTGCGGGGCTCCAAGCACTGCACAAGGGTTCTATAATCATCTCTTGACATCTCAGGTCAGGGGGTCCTAGGCTGCTTAAGGAGAAGCCAACCATTGTCTTTTCAAGGGCCTGGGGCTGGGCTACAACCATCTTGTGGTGATTTTATCTGTCCCATCAGCATGACTCTTCTCCCCTTAGTTACATGAATAATGTAACTTGTGCTACTACTTTTGTTTGTAATCACTTTTCTCCTGGCCTGCATTCCCCTTCCCAGCCCTTTTTTCCCTCTGCAGCACAGGCCTCATTTTTCTTTCCCTAGAGGGGATTTGAACTCAACAGGACAAAGCAGAAAGATAATTGTTGAGCACAGCCTCTAACCTCTCTATTCTCAACGTCACGATCTGTACTGTGTTTTACAGTTTACGAAACAATTTAAATGACCTCATTTAATACTCAAACTAGTAAGCTAGGTTATTATTTTTTTCCTAAAGTGAAGATAACACATCCAAATATAACAAAGCTAAAAGGCATAAAACCAAGTACTGGACATAAATTACCTGACTGAAAGTCAAGTGTTCTCGCATCATCTGTGGAGGGTCTGGTGGATGTGGAAGGCAGGATAGGGCAGAGACTGACCACAGATTACAACACCAGGGCCACCTGAGCGCATGGAGGTTGCTCTAAAACCTGTCTCTTCTCTGAAATCTACCTGGAGTTTTACCAGAGGCTCTCTTCCAACCTGCCTGCTTTTTGTGCTTTTCTTCTTTCCTCATTTTTTAATTACAAAAAAAGGGGCGGGGTGGGGTGGAGGGAAGACTGTTCTCAAAAATCCAAGCAAGAAAGAAGTATACATAGCGAAATAGGAAAGACCTCTTAATTGACCCCTTTACTCTCCATATGCGCATATGTATATTACACTCAAATGTAAGGGGGTTTTCATTGTTATTTGTTGTTTTCAAGTCCCCTCTGCCTGGGATGGCCCCATAGCATTTGCTGCCCATCGGGCTTTTTCTCACCAGTCAGAATTTGGCCTAAATATCTTCTCAGAAGAGTCTTCTGTGACCACTTGACCTAAATTTAGTTACCTTCGCTGCCACCATCTCAGGGGTTCTCAACCGCAGTCCTGTTTGGGGCTGGATAATTCTCGGTTGTAGGGGGCTGTCCTGTGCATTGTAGGATGTTTACCAGCATCCCTGGCGGCTAACCAATACTGGCTGGTAACACCCTCCCCCCAAGTTGTGACAAACATCTCCAGACATTACCAATGTCCTCCAGAGGGGATAGAAATTGGGGTGGGGGACACCTCTGGTAGAGAACCACAGGTCTCGCTCAACCCTTTCTTTTCTTCCATAGCCCCACAATTTTTTTTTTTTTTTTTGGCTGCGCGGGCTCTTAGTTGCTGTGGGTGGGCTGTTCACTGTGGTGCGCAGGCTTCTCTCTAGTTGTGATGCGCGGGCTCTGTAGTTGCGGCACGAGGGCTTACTTGCCCTGAGGCATGGGGGACCTTAGCTCACCGACTAGGGGTCGAACCCACATCCCCTGCATTGGAAGGCAGATTCTTAACCACTCGACGGCCAGGGAGGCCCCATAACACTGCAAGTTTTAATTATTTTGCTCATTTGACTGTTAGTGTGTTTGTCGTCCTTTGACACCCCCCCCCACTAAAATGTGTGCTTATTGTTAAATATTCCCGAACTTGGCACAAGGCCTCAACCATAAAGGGACCCAATAAATATTTCTCAAACAAAATAATGCATGAAAATGAGACTGTAAGAATCGTTAATAAGAATACAATCCGTTATTGTAAATAACACGCCAGGCAGCGTTAAATACTTCACATATTTTAATCTTTATTCCTGAAAACATCCTGAGAAGCACGCCTTATTGTTATCCCCATCTGACAGATGAAGAAGGGCAGTTCAACCATTTGTCCCGCCATTCTGACCCCTGGTCCATGATCCAAACAATAATGATATTCTGCAGCTTGCTTTTTTCATTTATGGTTAGTGCTAAGCATTTAAATAGTGTCTAATTTGTAACTAAGCACAAAAAGAAAGTGCAATTATAGTTAAAATATTCAACAATTGATAAAACATAGGCACCAACCAATGCCAGGAGCTCCTTCGGACTGTAAACGAGGGCAAACGGAACCAGTGTGTCTCAACAGAATGTCAGTTTGTATGCAGATCTTTGGGGGCTTTTGTGAGTATATTTGTAGGAGTCCCTGGAAGGTAGACTAGCTGAGTCAAAGGGCTGTGCATTCAAAATTTTCACAGATGTTGCCAAATTGCCCTCCAAATCATCTCACATATTTAAAACCTCTTTCTCTACACCCTTGCTAACACTGCACATTATCAATCAATTTCATATTTGCCAGTCTCCTAGACAAATACATGACACCTAACTTTTTTAAGAATACATGTCTTGGTTTGAGA